CACACACACACACACACACACACACACACACACACACACACACACACACACACACATACACACACACACACACACACAGAGTACGAGTGCCGCTGGCGATGGCAACCGTCGTCGTCCGTCCGGCGCCCCACGTGCGGACGACCACAGACCTCCAATCCGCAGTTCCGGCCGACGACGAACCAACACGCCCCTCACAGGCCAAAAAAAAAAACAACAAAGAGGAAAAAAAAAACAAAACAATAGTCCAGGCCTCGCACAATGCCACCAGGCACATGACCCTGCCCTAACATGTGTCCGTACGGTGGACTGTACCGGAGGCCGACTACGCGACAAGTGAAAACGTACCGAATCCAAACAGACAAAAAGAATAAAACAAAAGCGAAAGGTACCGCGGGACACAGGCTCGGCAAAATCGGCGCGCACTATAATTCAGCGTCGGCAAAAACAGGCTCGGAGGTACTGGTGGTTTAACGGGAATATGACATGGGGTGCCCTCTATTTCTTTTTTTGAAATGAGTGTGCAATCACAGCAATGGTGGGATTTCAATTGAAGATTGCTGGTCTAAGTTCCGTTTTTAGATGTCCATGTACCCTGCAGATGATTAAAATTACTGTGAATTAACATATTCTTCAATTCTTGACTTTTAAGGCTCAACTTTTGATTATAGTTGCACCCAATTTAGAAACATACAGTCGCCGTGTGCTTGATAACAGTCCCATAGACAACAGTGTAGTTGCAAAAAGTTTAGAAACAAGTAGTCTGCGTGTTTTTGGAAACAGTTTCGTAGACTCAATAATACAAGGCAGAACGGTGGTTGGACTTCAATTAGTTTGACATGATTTTATGTGCATCTCGGTGTCTGTTTCTGTGCTTGTGCATGTTTTGTCTCTCTGCTGTGATGCAGCTTGTGATTGTGTGAATGTTTGTGTATGCCATCATGAAGGAAAGTGAAAACTGAAAGAGTGTGCACGCGAATAATAACTGAGTGGTGGGCTTTGGATCAGTGGAACTGTGTGCTTTGTCTGTGCATCTATGTATGTGTTGTGTGCGCACTTGCGTGCTCTTGCTCTCTGTCCATATGTTCATGCGTGCCTGGCTGTGTGTGTTCTGGTCGTATTGTTTCCAACTTTCCAGGTCTCAAGACACAACTTCAGCAGATGTGCGCTTGTAGGAAACGGAGGAATTCTTCTGAAAAGTCGATTCGGGAAGGTAGAGCCTTTGAATAGAATATATACAAAGCCCCTCTGGGCTCGATTGCCCACCATAATATGTGCTCCTGGATAGATTGGTTGATGTTGTTCCGTTCATTGTATTTCAAACTTCCAAAGAGGAAAAAACAACTATTGCAATCAGACTCGTTCTCAAACACACTTTTCATGCATGTAAACAGCAACGCAGCCTACTGGCGACATGCGCCCACTCAA